TATACGGTATAAAAAACAATTTCAGAATTCTTTTGAAAAAGTAATGTATTTTGTCCAAATCCCTGATGTCTATAGGATTTCATTATGTTTATGTTTGAATTCAACTTCACAGAGGTGTTTTTGATGTAAAAATATAAATATCTGGTAGAATAAGTGTACAGTTAGCTTGCTCATCTCTCTGTATCCCAGATTGCTTACTGCGGTGGGGAATGTGGTTTACTCCACTAAGGACTCTTCGCCCTACGATGTAGCAGTAGTGCTCCTGGCAGAGCCCCTTCCCAGTACTACTGTTCCTGCTGTGGCCAGGGACTTCAGAGCAGGTAGAGTGGTCAGTTACACTTCCTTTGCTCAGTGTAAGGTGTCTGTTCAAGGTCAGTACACGTTCAAACATTGTAGCATTTGGAATTAAATAATGCTGCTGCCTCAAAAAAATTAACAAACGTTTTACTTGAATTAGAACAAAGAGCAACTCACAATTTCTAAATATCTGGGCATTTGGTCAGATAGTGCTAGAATTTTCAAAGTTAATATTAATAAACTCCTGGTGAAGTCTAGACATGGTTTCCTTTATCATTATAATCTGGTTTTGCATGTTCCCCTAGTTATACAGTAATTCAACTGTCCATACTCTTGAACCGCCCTGGGCTGTGGTGACAAGGCCTGAGGGCTTCTACCATTCTGCCATCAGATCTGTCACTCGCGTCCCATATTCCACTTATCATTGTGTCCTTCATTCTTTGATTAATTTGAGTCTTTTTGCCCCTACGAAGGACTGGCTTCCCATCCAGGGTGTACCCTGCCTTGCACCCATTGCTTGCAGAGATAGGCTCCAGCTCCCCCCTGCGACCCTGAATTAGATGAAGCAGTTGGAAAACGGATGGATGGGTGCATTCTAGTCAGATTCTCTGGTTTAGGGTAGTTTCACATTCGGCAGATAGAGCTGAAATTCCCCAACTTCAAATCTGAGGGCAGTCTTAGTCATATGAGTGAGTGTTTTATGCCTGACACCTGCACTTGTCAACTCTGCCCCATTCCACTGTTTTAAATCCAACCAGTTATTTTACATAAAACCTCT